TTATTTCTTCTTGTTCACATTGAATATAGTTTATCAATTTGAGGACTTAAAAATCTTGTGAATTGATATAAATTGTGACATGCATAAGAGCGTGGACCAATCAAACAACATCCTAGAAACGCATTAACTTATCTCTGTCCAACCAAATTCAAATTCTGCCGGAAAGTTTCTCAGTATCATTGCTCAATGAATTAGCCGGCACATATGCTGAAGTGTGGGGCCCACATTAAATTCAGTTATGTACTACTAAGAGATAAAAGGCTGCGAATATGGATAAGATGATGATAAGGTTTTATCTTTCTTTTTTTTTTTAATGTGGGTTGTAACATAAAATATCATACATATTGGCATCGTGCGCTAGGATATTCCTTTTTACACTCTAAACTTTAATCTAAAATAGTCCCATGTGGATTACCTTTGCCAGAAAACTGAAAAAACTCACCGACCATAAAGCTAAGATTGTAAACAATGCTTTGGGGACGACGCTATCTGTATCTCTTTATCCCTTTCGTCCATCGTGATTATTATACTTGCTATTAATTAATGTTATCCTTCCCCCATTTATCTTTATCCACACTCACTCGTCCATCCACCTTATTACTATGAGTTTTTTCTTTCATATTTTTCTTTCTTAATTTTCTGTTATTGGTTAGATCTAAGCTACAGCATCAGCGTAAAATTTGAGAGAGTAATCGACACAAATCTAAACATTCAATAATAAAAAAAAAAGAATTTATAATTATTGTATTACATTAAAAAAATAGTTATTACGTTGCATTTAATATTTTCTCACATATAATGAATCACCCTTTGATATGTCGGGGAAAATAAGTTGCCTTTAGAGTTCGTTCAGTTGGGTAGAAAGGGGAAATGATGAAAAATAAAAGTGATAAAAGATGAACTGAGAAAAAAAATATATATATATATACACACACGCGGGTGGAGCCAACATATGCTTAGAGAGACACATTTCCACCCTCAAAAAAAATTTCTTAACATTATCAATATGTATTTTAAATATTTTTTTAATATTTTACTATTTTTTTTTGGCACATTAATTAGTGTACACTTATTTCAAATGACTATGATTTTTTTGACATTTTTTGGACATGATATGTACTTTTCTAAATAAATTTTGAATATATTATAATCATTTTGTATTTTCTAAAACTGAAAAAGTCATGATATACATATTAATTAGTTTATTTGTGATTTTGACATTTATTTTTACTAATTACGGTAGACATAATAAACTGTACATTAAACTGCATAATTGAATAAGTGATAATTTAATACTCAAGTGATAATATGATTGTGTATATAAAATATAATAAAGTTGTTATGCAACGATTTGAAAATATGAAAATTTATTGGGTCAATTTTAAATAATTTTAACTAGCTTATATTTTGTAAAATGATATAATTAGTCTTTTTTTATTGTTGTCATTTGTATATGGTAGGCTTACTAATTTTTGGTTTATTGGATTTAATGAACTTTTAAGTATTAAATAAGATGTAATTTAATATAAATTATTATCCTATATATTTCTATTGGTTGTAAAAAAAAATATTAATTTGTTAAAATACCGGTGCCCACACTAACAAGATTTTATGGTTCCGCCTATATATATTCATGCATGTATTTGGTTAGTGTATTACAATTTTTGTAAGAAATTTCATTATATTGTTGATAGAAATGAAAGTTATTAAAAAATTTTGTCAATTGCTTAAATTACATTTAATTATATTAAATCGATCTAAAGAAAAAAAATATGTATTTTAGTTAAAAGTATTTTTTTTAAAAAAAGATCCTAACATAATTCTGGGACAAGGATAGACCCGAAGCCAGATCTCCAACCTAGGTTATATGATTAACCTAACTCATATCAAGTTTTTAAAAAAATTATTAATTGATTGAATATTTTTTTCAAAAAATAAGGATAAAATTAAAAGTTGGATTATTGACCACAATATTTTTATTTTTCTTTGTGTTTTTTACAAAAAATAAAAAAGTTGGTTAGTTGTAAAAAAATCTAAATATGAAAGAAAATTATATTTTCATCATTTTTCATTTTGTGCTAATTAAATACATGTTTTTTTATATATTTTTTAGAATTGTCATGCTAAACAAACAAACATGTAGTTAAAAGTACTTAAATTTATATAATAAAATATAATACAATTTAAATTTGAAAAGATAAATAAAATAATTTTTATTTTCTATGGTTAAGATCACTTTAAATTTTACTTTAAAATTAATCCAACGACTAATACTAATACCTCGAATTTAATAGGAAAAATATGCCCCTAATGGTGTGTTTGGAGTGATTTTTTAAAAATATTTTTAAAATTTATAACTTCTCTTAAATACTTTAAAAAATAAATAGTGTTTGAAATCGCATTACTACCACCCCCTACCCACGACCCTACCACCCATCACCACCCTCACCGCCCCACCACTACCACCATCATTGTCAATTCACCATCACCACCATTACTACCGCTCCACCACCATCACCATTACCACTATCGCTACCTTTGCCACAGCCACAACCACAAGCACCACTACCACCACCATTGTCAATCCACCTCTACCACCATCATTACCGCCCCACCATTATCACACCCACTGTCTCACCACCACCACCGTTGTTGTCACCCTACCACCACCACAACCACCGTTGTTGCCACATTACCACCCCCACCGTTGCTGCCACCGTCCCACCACCATTGCCACCCCACCACCACCATCATTGTCCCATCATCACCGCCACTGTCACTATCCCACCATCACTCCTATTACCACCACCCTTAACGCCCCACTCCCACCCCCACAACCATCACCACGCCATTTCACCAACATCGTCTCCGTCCTTTACCACCACCACCAACATCATTATCCATAACCGATTGCTACCACCGTCATCCACCAATCACTATCGTCATCTTATTCTTATATTTATTACTACTATTACTATCATTCCACTACGACCATTGCCCACCGTCAACACCCACTACATCTACCACCACTCGTCATTGTTCACTACTGCCGCCACTTATTATCACTCACTCCCACCACACCTATCACTACCACCACCATCGTCATTCGTCACTACCTATCATATTATCGCTCAAAAACACCCTGTCGTCACCCATCACCACCACCATCATTACCCACCACCACCATCACCATCATTATCGCCCTACCACCACAACTGTCATTATTCATGGTTGACATTACCACTATCGTCACTCAAAACCCATCATTACCATCATTGTTATGACCCACAGCTGCCACCACCACCACGATCGTCACCATTCACCACAATCATCATTGTTTCCCACTATTACCACTATCATCGGTGCTTAATTTTTTTTTTCTCTTCTCTGTTTGTGATTTGATTTGGGGCGTGAATACAAATATACTTATTGTTGACCATTTTTTTATTTACTCCGTGCCTGAAATAACTAATAAACTTATAAAATACCTTGTATGAGAAACATACAAACATTTTTATTGTGATATAAAAATGTAGTTATTTGCTATGATTAGTCATAGTTAGTTGAAATTCGAGATTCAATTTATTTTAAGATAGAATTTAGATTATTTGTTATTTATGTCTTGTTAGTTTGTTACAAATTAAAAAAATTATACTAAATATTATCGTTTTTCAAATATGAAGTTTTTGAATCCAAATTCTCTTTAATACATGCTATTCAATTCTCTTTTTTGTAGATAATTTATCATTAAAGGGTGAAGGATTTGTTTATATATAATAGATCATACTTAAATATATGATAGATAATCTATCATGAAAAAATATATTAATAGGAATATCAACCCGAAACTATTGATGAATAAAAAAATTTTAATGCTCTATTTGGTACGATGAAAAAATAGAATGATACAAAGTTGAAAGAATAGATAAAATATCATGTTTGATAAGAAAAAAAATAGGAAAGATGAAAAAGTGGATGAATAAACTTTCTTTCTAATTAACCAAAATCAATCACTTCAAAATTGAATGAAAAATTTATGGAAAGTTAATTATTTGTATTAAAATATATTTTATTTGTCTATATATCTATTGATATATACATATATTATGTTTACATTGATTTCATATATAAATACAATAATAAAAAACGTATTTATATATTTTTTTTAAAAAAATTAAAAATTAAAACTAAAATTAAAAATAAAAAATATTTTTTTCATCTTACCAAGTACAAAAAAAAATATTAATCATTTTTATTTTGCATCCATCCTATCAAGCACAAATGAAGAAATGCGTATCATTATTACTTTTCTTTTTTAAAAGATAAAAAATATACTTCTTATATTTTTCATAATTCTTACCAAACGGAACATAAATTTCTCATCATTACACCGGACCTTTAAGCATTCAAATCTCAACAAACAACCATTTTTCGGAGAAAATATTTAATGTATAGGTGATATTATGTAAATATGATATGATATTATTAATTAATAATAAAATTTCAAATGAGGAAAGTGAATTTTACTAGAATAGCTATGAATTTATATAAAAGAAGAATAAATAATTATTAATTTACATAGACAATTAATTATTAGTTTTTATGTGATATATTTTTATTTATTTAAATATTATTGGTTGATTTATCAGTACGACAATAAATATTTTNGTGATATATTTTTATTTATTTAAATATTATTGGTTGATTTATCAGTACGACAATAAATATTTTTCCCACTTTTCGATAAAAGATCTATACAGTTGACACGCGTCTGCATCAAAGACCCTCTGTCCCACCCAAAAACCTTAGACCCAAAAGAGGCCACATCCCAAACCTTCCGTATCAACCTATATCTCTAACCTTATTCCCAAACAAACGGTCCATATCAATTCACTCTACCGTAAAATACAGCAGGCTACATCCAATCATTGCCCCACCTCCCATCTTATCCATGAACCAAATTTATATACACGAATCCTATTGCAAATTTGTAATCCATCCTCTTTCCCTCATCTGGCCTAATTCACTCTCTCTCTACAGCCATCTAATATCTGTATCTAAATCGTGTGTGTCTCTCTCCATCATTTGCGAAACTCGAGAGAGAGAAAACCCCTTCGCCAAACCCTAACACCAATTTTTCTCCACTGGATCGTGTAGAAATTCTCTCTCTGGTCGATACATTTGAATTCGGATCTTTCATTTTCTGATTCAGAGGTGAACCAATTCGGATTGGGAGGCAGCTATGACTCGGCGGTGCTCCCATTGCAGTCACAACGGCCACAACTCACGGACGTGTCCGAACCGTGGAGTGAAGCTGTTTGGAGTTCGATTGACCGATGGATTGATCAGGAAGAGTGCGAGTATGGGTAACTTGACCCACTACACCGGATCATCATCCAATACCAGTACTCCTCAAAACGGTGTCGCTCACGACTCTCCTGGCGACACCCCCGATCGCGGTGCCGCTGCCGATGGTTATGCTTCCGAGGATTTCGTGCCCGGCTCATCTTCGAGCCGAGAAAGAAAAAAAGGTAATATAGATAGGCATGCATAGATTTGTATATGTATGTAGGTCTACAAAACACACACAGACACGCACGTATGTGTTTTGGGGATCTAATGGTTGTATTTAAGGTTTCGTATATGTAAGTTATGAAATTTTGAATTGAGGATTGTTTGTTTTAGACGCTGATATTGATATTTATGCGTGCATGAAGTTTAATATTGCTAAGAATTGTGGCTGTAAAACCGGCTGATGACGAAGACGTTTTTTCTTATTGTTGTGAATATGGGTAGAAGTTAAAGCATTTAAGCCGTTTTTATTTTTGGGTTGTGGAGTAGTTGGGAGAATTTGGATTTTTTTGTGACCGAGAAATTGGGCGATGTCAAAAAATTGAATTTATTTATCAAAATTGCTGGGATATTGGTGAAAAGTTGGATCAGCTCAAAATATTGGTTATGTCCAAAGAATAGAGATCTCAACTCTGAATTAAGCTCGGTTGACTGGAATGTGTTTTTTTTCAAATCGAAATTATGAGAAAACTAGGACTTAGACTTGAGAAAAATTGGCTTCTTTGATTTTCTTTTCCTTTCTCAGCGACAAAAGTGTCATGACTTGACTTTCTTTATATCCAGTAATGACCTTTGGTCATCTGTATGGGAAAAGAAGTTAAGAACCAAAGGGACAATGTTTGCAAGGGAGTGGTTTCTATGGGCATTCAGGATCAATGGACTATTGAATTTTACTTTCTGATTCTGCTATGTGTGGACTGTGGACAAATAATAAGACTGTTCTAGTTTTGTATGATTTGTGTGGTATTTTCAGTGTAAACAGTCAATGAACGGCTGATTGCCCTTAGTGAATAAACGGCTGATTGCCCTTAGTGCTACCGAATGGTTTTCTTTCTCACGCAATTCAACTGCATTGCTCCTGGTTCGAGCACACCAAGCACTGAAGTATCTTCCTGGTTTTTTTGGATTACTCTCACTAGGTGACAATATGTGCATTGCTGGATCCATCTTGGCTTGGTTTCTTTTGCTCTAAGAGAGTGAAGAGGGGGAAGGGTGAGAGGTTTCAAGTCATGAAGTTAGGTGGCAAATGACATCGTCAGTTCTCTTAAAAATTTTGTTGGCAAATTATCTGTGTAAGTTGCTCTTATGACGAGACCAAAAACATTACATTTAGTGACGGACAGAGTTACGAGTGAGAGAGTTGAAGTTAATCTCTCTTGGTGAAAAATACTTGATGTTGACAGGAACCAGAAACATCAAAACTACAAGATTGTTTTTACTGTGGTTTGCTTCACACTGATAATGATCATCAAGAATTGAGTATCTCCTGTGCATCTTGCTCATGATTTGTTATGAAGAGCATCTGTTTTGTAGTGTGTTAACTGTGTATGCCTTCTTGAAAATGATTATAATTTGACTTGCAGGTACTCCATGGACTGAAGAGGAACACAGGATGTTTCTGCTTGGTTTGCAAAAGCTTGGCAAAGGTGATTGGCGGGGCATAGCACGCAATTATGTAATTTCAAGAACACCTACTCAGGTGGCCAGTCATGCCCAGAAGTATTTCATCAGGCAAAGTAATGTGTCTAGGAGAAAAAGACGTTCCAGTTTGTTTGATATTGTAACAGATGAAGTAAGTATTTTTCCTTCTATGGATTGATTTATGATATAGACATTTTACTATGCAGCCATATATTGGATGATTATCTCCACGGAGATCTTTTATATTTACCAACAGGATTTTTTATGGCTACTTTTTAGCATGAAAGATTTTACTTTTTTGTTATGACTCTGGATAAAATTTTCAGTTCTTGTTGCTAGTTGTCTTTGACAAGCTATAAGTTTTTTCATGGGATATATCATTTGTCATTCTCCTTCAATGTGGCTGCTAAAGAACATGGTGGCATGGTGGTGCACATGGAATGTGACAAATGCAAAATTTTGACCGACCCATTGGGTTTCAACCTTGCTCAGTTTTCAATGTTTTATACAATTGCGCGGGTTTAAGGCTGTAGGAGCAAACCTATATTTATGTTTTGGTTTTGAAAAGCCAATATGTAGATCTCTTTGATTTTAGATGTACAATTTGGTACTTTCAAGTGATTCGCTTATGTCTGTTTTTTTTTTTAAATGTATTTTTTTTTTCTGGTGGAGTTGCTAATCTTGCTGTATGTGGCATTTCTATAGTCACCCGACACGCCAATGGTATCAGGGGCTGTCTATGCTGTTAACCCTCCCCAAGCAGAGACACAAAGTGACAACCCATTGCCTACTGCTGCTGTGGATGATGAATGTGAATCAATGGATTCTACCCACTCTAACAACACTGAAAGTGTACCTCAAAAGCCAGATGGCTCACAATGCGCTTATCCAGTTCTATATCCTGCTTATATCGCCCCATGCTATCCATTTTCTTTTCCATTTTGGTCGGGGTATGGTGCAGAGCCAGCAAAAACAGAAACTCATGAAGTGCTTAAGCCAACAGCAGTTCACTCGAAGAGCCCAATTAATGTTGATGAGCTGGTTGGCATGTCGAAACTGAGCTTAGGGGATTCCCTTGGCGAAGCAGGGCCATCCTCGCTCTCACAAAAACTGCTCAATGACGCCTCTAGGCAGTCAGCTTTCCATGCTAAAACTGCCCCCGACAGTTCCGACATGAACTCAAGCAGCAGTCCAATCCATGCAGTTTAGAAGCTAAGAGTTCCATACTTTCCATATGGAGATTGTAGGTTAGCTCAGTACTGGTGAGCTCTGGAGATTTCCTGTTAATACAAAGACAATAATGTGTAGTCTGGTTTGGATTATAGTTGCCGGGCACCTTAATAAGCTTGGGTTTAGGGATCATTAACTTATGTCAGTTTTTGCCTTGTAGGCTGTAGCAACTCCTGTCTGAAATTATTTGAATCTTCTGAAAATTTTGATTTTTAAGTTCTTTTGTGTCGTCAACGTTCATTGCTGGTTACATTCTACTTAGAACACTTGAGCTGTTAATATTTTTTGGTAAAAAACATTTTCATAGCAAATCTATGTATTATATGCATGGAGGGGCCTCTTATAATTAGCATTGATATGGTTTTTCAGGAAAGAGGAGAGAGAATCATTGTATAGTCAATTGTGACATGGTCTGTTAGTTTTCAGCAGAAAATGAGGTACGGTTTTGTTGGTAATTAGTTCTTGATTGTGGAGGACAAGGCTCCTGTAGGGAAGGATCTGGATATAAGTAGACTTGGTGTTTATATTTGAAGAACCGAGGATTGTGCCCTTTCTGAGCTTGTTTTGTGGTAGTCTTGATGGTAGTTTACGATGGCAATGAATTGGGAAAATGTCCATGTTCTTCTTTTTGGTTTTTTTGGGTAAGTAAAAATTTGAACCATTTTTTGATTTGTGCATGTCATCCATAGGCAAAGGTCCTGCGATTTGTTGCAAAATTTGTTAATGGGCTTTTTCCATGCTCTTCTGAATGGCTGGGTGTATATTTTTCTATCGGAACATTCCTGGATGATCATCTTGACGCCCCCTATTCGGTATATTTGGAAAATCAAGTTGACAAAAAAGGGAAGGGAATGATGGGCCCAATTCGAATTTTAGTTCAAATTGTGTAACCAGATAATCAAATTTGGGTTCAAGTCGAGTTGAATTTGATTTCACTACAATTGTGTAACCCGAAAATTAAATCCGAATTGAACCAGTCTGGTTCAAGTTCTACTTGCGTTCAAAAGTTTAAACATGGGCAACACTCTATTGACAAATTCGGGTTAAAGTCGGATGGAATCCGATTAGCTTCCCAACAGGCTAACTCACCCGACTTACACCTCCTAACGGCACTACTATTGAATTAAGACAATCATCTTGAAGATTTGGGCAAAGAGGTGGTTCAAAGAACTTGGTTGTTATAAGTAGGGGTGATAAGCGAGTCGAATTTTGTGAGTTTGAGTCAAGCTTGTTGAACTTATTTTTTTAAATGAACAAAAAAAAATTATTTAAATTTAACTATTTTAAAAAATGAACCGAGCCCAAAATAAGTCGAACTCGAATCTAATTTGAGTAGTTTGACTATTTTACATATAAACGAGATGAATTTTACAAATTCAAGTTGAACCTTTTAGACTTGTTTTTCAAATGAGTTTAAAAGATTATTCAAACTCGATTCATTTAAATCAAATTTTATCGAATCTAAATAACTCAATTTAATAATCAACCCAGTTATAAGCACGACGATCCAAGGGGTGACAGGTTAATCCTATTGAGTAAAGTTGTTAGTCTTCTTTAGGTCCAACGGGTAGGGTTTGGCCCACCCCATCGGCCGCCAAAGTTTTATAGGTTGAGAAAACTTGTCAGACTTGATAAAAGTGTAAAAGAATATCTTAAAAAAAAAGGCACCAACACCAACCCAATAAAAAGATAATACTCTTCATTTGTGATAAGTAGTATCTAGAATATTCTATTAAACAATCAACAACCTAATGATCTAATAATGTAATCCGGTATATTCCCTTACAAATCACCATATGTCCACCAAAAAGCAATTACATTAGGCTGATCCTTATAGATCGCCAAACGAGAGCCTTCAAAGAATCTATAAACTTTTGGGTAGACCCGTCAATTGAATCAGCTGAAACAAACTCGTGTCAAATTTTAATGGGTTCATATGAAAAAATATTAAAAAATATTTAATATATTTATTAATTCATGTATAAATAATCATGTCATAACAAATTTGTATTTTGTATTTCTTTTAATTAATTTCACTCATATCCAATTTATTTATTAATCGTGTAAGATTGGGTCTACTCATTTACGAAATGTATAATATAGGGAAGACCTTAACATTTTTAATTTTGTGTTGTGTTTAAAAAAAAAAATTGACCTTTTATTTGATAATAATATTATTTGATCTTAATTTATTAATATAATTTGGTAACTCAATTCATCATAATTATTAAATTGATTGTGAATCTCAATAAATAATGATGTCTCAATAAATATTGGGATTTATTATCAATTTAATAAATTAAATTAAAAAATTATATTTAAATAACATTCTTTAAAAAATTGAAAAAGAAAACAAAAATATATTTTATTGGAACCACGAAAAAGAAAAACCGAGAAGGGTGTCGGTTCCACATATCCTCTGTGAGGCTATGAGCCGATAATATTTTGGCAACAAACAGATCTTATCATTGCATACGTATGCAAAACTAATGACCTCGTGAAACTCCACAGAGCCATAAACATCATACAGCAATTTGTCGCTGTGGGGAACACACCATTTATTTCTTCTCTCTGCCCCTCGCTGACTCTATCCCCCTATTATCCTTGAAAGAAATAAAAATAAGAGATTAAAAATAAAAAGAATATACTTTTTATTCTTAAAAAAAAATATGAATGATATATATATTTTTATATTTTACAGGATAAATGAAAAATAAAAATAATTAATTTTTTTTGTGCTGGATAAGATAGAAAAAATGCTTTTTAATTTTGATTTTATTTTTTATTTTTAAATATAAATACATATTTTACTATTGTATTTATGTATAAAATTAATATATAGATAAATAAGATACACTTAAACGCAAATAGTTAATTTTTCATCTATTTTTCTCCTAATTTTAGATGGATTAATTTTGGTGAGTTGAAAGAAAAACTCGTTCATCCACTTTTTCATCATTCGTATTTTTTTTTTACCAAACATGATAGTTTTTCCATCTTTCTAATTTTTCATCTTTCGAACTTTTTATTTTTTTATTTTTTTATCGTACCAAACAGAGCATTTGTGTTATAAGTGAAGCGGAGTCGAATCGAGTCTTAGTAAATTCATGTCAAAAAATAGTTCATTCATATTTTATTTATTTATTAATTAATGTCTAAAGAGTCATATTATATCAGATTTGGATCTTTTTAATTTTATGTTCGTGTCGTGTCATATTTTGACACTCTTATCCTTAATCACCATCGTTCTTTGACCTTTTATTTGACAATAATATTATTTAGTCCTAATTTATTAGTATAATTTGTTGATCTAATCGCTAAATTCATTGTAAATCTCAATAAATATTGAGTTTATTAGGTAAATAAATTATAACTAAATAACATTTACTTGAAAAGCCGAGGAAAAAGAAAATAATATTATGTCCAAGTAAATAATGTCCAACAACGTTGGTGTTTATTTATACCAAGAAAGAAAGAAAACCGAGAAGAGTCTTGGTACGCCCCCTCCCCTGCAATACGTATGCAAAACAAACGTCCTCGTGAAACTCGATGTTAAAAGAAGGCGATCCTTATCACTAGGGAACCTGACAAAAAAAAAAAAAAAAAAAATCATTGGGAACAGTCTCTGTCTCTCTTTTTTCCACAAAGCCATACACGTTGTACTGCTATTTGTCGCTGTACCGAACACACCCCATTTACTTCTTCAACGTTTGCTATATTGTTCACCGTCCAATCTCTCTCTCTCTCGTTCTCTCTTGCTGTCTGGACAAAGTGTGATTTACGGTTTGTTGGTCTTGAAATTTAATCTGCAACATGGAGGGAGTGGATTACTTAGCTGACGAGAGGAAGAAGGCAAAGTTCGATGTGGAAGCTATGAAAATCGTCTGGGCTGGTTCTCGCCACGCCTTCGACGTCGCTGATCGCATTTCCAAGCTCGTCGCTAACGATCCTGTGATTCCTCTTAACTTTCTTTTTTAATAATTAATCTTTTTTGATGGGTAATTCATTTAATTTTATTGCATATCTCATGATTGTTCTGTGTATGGTATGTTTATTTCCCTAGATTTGTTGCATTTCACTGCTGGTTGAAATAGCTGGATATGTGATTTGGAGTATTAATTTAATGATATTTGTTAAATACTTGACTTCTTTGTTGAATACTTGGGGAAGCAATTTAGTTTGGTGGTTATAGTTTTTAGTTGGTCGATTAGAACTGAATGCAAATAACGTGTGTTGTATTTTTTCCCCTCGTTGTTGGAGTAATCGAATGGTGGATTACGTAGCATTTTGTGATTGATTTTGTATGTTATAGGAATGGATCTGTGCGATTTTTCTTTTCTTTTTTAAGAGAAGAATTTGGTTTTGAAACTTTTCAATCCATAATTTTAAGGATTGCAGGTAATGGGTTAAGATGTCAATTGTTCAACCAACCTAATTCCTGATAGGCAGCATTTTGGCAGCTTAATTTATGAATTCAGATTGTGTTTTTTGAGCCATTTCGTACTTTGATGTGAATGATTTTGTATGTTATAGGAACAGATCTGTACAATTTTTCTTTTCTTTTTTAAGAGAAGAATTTGGTTTTGAAACTTTTCAATCCATAATTTTAAGGATTGCAGGTAATGGGTTAAGATGTAAAGTGTTCAACCAACCTAATTCCTTATAGGCAGCATTTTGACAGCTTAATTTATGAGTTCAGCTTGTGTTTTATGAGCCATTTCGTACTTTGATGTTTTGGCATCCTTAATTTTGAGTAATTAACGTAAAGACAGGAAGCATTTCACAAGTTTGATGACAAAAGTTATTATGGGTCAAAATTCAAGACAAAAAGTTTCCAAAAACCAAAAGAAAAAAAGAAAGAGAATGGGTAACTGGGTCTAGACATGCCCTCATACATTGATGAAGCTAGAGTGTGGCCCAAGGGAGCCATGGCCCCCCCTCATATTTTGATAAATACCCTATACCGGTAAACCCCTTCTAGGTTTTCAAAAATCTTATGTCTCCTTTTTAAGTTTGTAAATATTTTTTATATGTAATGTGCTTCATTAAGTGTTTTCAAAAAGCTTAATTACTTGTTATTTGACAACCAATGGGTAACACTCATCATATGTGTGAGTGCCGCTCTTACAGACAAATCCACTTCGTTGGATAAGCCCCCTTCCCCCCCCCCAAAAAAAAATAAAAAAATTTTGGGTTACAAACATGACTTATATCGGTTTCTATGATGAGATCGTGTGGAACTAGCATTGATAATTAATGTGATGTCATGAATAAGGGTATAAGTGGGCACATTGTCACCAATTAATTTTTACGATTGTAAGTAAGGATCAATGTTTAGATTTTATGGCCCTAACTAACTTTTATGACTATATTTTATGAAAGTTAATTTTGATAGATTCTATATAATGCAAAATTTGACTTCCAAGATAACAAGTTAAACAACTCAGTAAAATAAAACTCTTGATTGTGCCATTGTTTCTGTTTTGCCCCCTTTATGATTAAATACTTGCTTTGTTCCTACCCTCGAATGTAGTTCTTGAAACTTAATCAAAAGAACTCGAGGTTAGTAGGAGATGTAGCTGTCATAGGAAAGCTCCATTCGACAGATGGATAGATAGATGTATCAACACATGCTCACGGAATTACATCTCCTACCAAAAAAAAGACATTCATCAAGGACACCCTCATGGAATTTCTTCACTTAGAAACCAGCTGGAGTGCTGTTCTAGTTCTTTTTTGATACTTTACTAACTATATGCATTTGATTGGTATTCTAATCGTGTCTTGTTTTGGGATTCAGGGTTTTCGTAAGGATAACAGACCTATGCTCAGCAGAAAAGAACTGTTCAAAAACACTCTTAAAAAAGCAGCTTATGCATGGAAACGAATCATTGAACTTCATCTATCTGGTATGAATTCATTTTAGGTTCTCATGATATTTTTGATAGTTCTATTTATCGCTGAGTATTTTGCTACTCATTTGAGGTTCTTATGATATTTTTGTTTATTTTATTTATCGATGAGTGTTTGGCCACTCATTTCAAATATTAGCTCCATTTTATAATTCAAGTATGCAAATTTTGTTATTCCAGAAGAAGAGGCATCTAGGTTAAGGTTCTATGTTGATGAAGCTGCTTTTACTGATCTTCATTGGGTAAATTTTATTCCTAAATTTTCATTGCATTATTCCGTTCTGAATGATGGTTACTTTTATTTAAGTGCATCAACATTTGGGCTGGTAATTTTACACACGTCCCGTGAGTTCACGCAAAATCAACAAGAAGTTAGGGAGTTTTTGTGTAGCTTTATTGTGGTAAATGGGTGAACAACCGGACAGACTTTCTGGTTAAACAGGGGGTGGTCAAATTTTGCCACTACATGACTTGCATGATTTAGAAACACTACACAACACAGCCCATTGACAGCTCTAAGCAACAATTGGGTGAGGATAAGATAATTGGACTTTTGTTGACTTGCTAGGGAAACTTGTTTAGTTAGTTTGTAAATGTATGTTCTCTTGTTTACTTTCTTTATATTTTTTGCTTCAGTCAAGGCTTAAAAATACACTTTAGAAATGTTATAAAACTTTTACGTACAAGGCTTCATCACGTTCATTGATATCCAACTGTCTTCAATTGTCTCTCTGTAGGGAATGTTTATACCTGCAATAAAAGGACAGGGCACTGAGGAACAGCAACAGAAATGGTTGCCACTGGCATATAAGATGCAAATAATTGGCTGCTATGCACAAACTGAACTTGGTCATGGTTCCAATGTACAAGGTCTTGAAACCACTGCAACTTTTGATGCACAAACAGATGAGTTTATCATTCATAGTCCTACACTGACTTCAAGCAAAGTGAGTACAATGATATATTAGTCTCTTTACCTGGTTACTGGATAAAGTTGGTTACTATTTTATCAAGTATATGTAAGATAGCAAGTACGAATCAGAGTTATTCTTATTTTACTTCTGACATCTTAAATGCAAAACCAGTGATGGCCTTTGCACCTTCCCTTTTCCACCTGTTAAGTGTTCAAATATGCCACGTGGGTGGGATCTTCTTGAAATGTTCTCTTAGAATGAAATATTTGAATTCATTATCAACTGTTACTATATTATTACGTTTGCTTGACTATAATTTCTCAGATTAGGTTTTAACATTTTTTTCTTTACTATTATGAATAGTGGTGGCCCGGTGGCTTGGGTAAAGTCTCCACTCATGCTGTGGTGTATGCTCGTCTTATATTAGATGGGGAAGACCATGGCATACATGGTAAATTATGACATGCTTTGATCAAAAGCTTGTGTGGAAGATTTCATGTTTAATTTGTGTGAAGTACATTAACTGTCTCCAGCCAAGGCTATTTTAACTTTCTTTTAAATAATCTTTCAGGTTTTCTTGTCCAACTGCGGAGCTTGGATGATCATTCACCTCTTCCGGGCATAACAATTGGTGATATTGGAATGAAATTTGGAAATGGAGCATACAACACCATGGACAATGGGGTATTAAGATTTGATCATTTGCGCATCCCAAGAAATCAGATGTTGATGAGGTATGAAGATCCCTTGATCTGTCTTGTTTATTTTGGTTAAGGCTATAGTTCATCTTTTGTAGATTAAAAGATTATAGGCACTGCCTTAACAATGATCATGTCTTGTTTCATAACATGGGCCCATTTGTATAACTTTCATATTGTATTGGCACTTGGCACGATTACTTGGTGTGAGGCAAAGGGTCAAGATAAGAAAGACATTGGAATTACTATTCCTATATATCATGATGCAAAATTGGAAAAATGTATCCATTAGGATGCATTGTAAGGTCTTGTAATTGATTCTTTTTTTTAACAAGGAGGTACACTGGTCTCTTAGGACACGATGTGCCCGAATCCTCCTAGGCACAATGCACAAGTAATTCTCCCATCCCATATATCTTTATTAATTACCCTTAAATATAGCTGGAGATAGCTCCATGGGAGACTTGAACTTTGGATATATGGGAGCAAGAATTAAAATATTATTTCGAAATGTCAGAAACGTTTCTATTTCCAAGGAGACCAAAAGGAATCAGTGATGGAATCAAAATCCTAATACTTCGAGGTGATCCATAATATTTTGAAATGTTGTTATATTTAAATGTATTTGCACAATTATTTCAGACTATTTCAAAGTATTTTAAGATATTTTAGTATATTTTGACTAATGTTTTGAAAAAATAATTCTTAAATTTTTTTATTTTTTTTCATTTTGTTTACGAAACGGGTCAAAACGTTTCCGAAACACATTAAAATGTTTCCATTTCCTAGGTGACTGAAACAATGTACCGAAACGAAATTTTGATCCTTGTATGGGAGACTTGAACTCTGGAACTCTATCTCATTGAAGAGTCTCCTGGCCTTGTTATCTACCAGTTGGGGTTGTTTGGTTTGTTACTCGAAGTGTTCCAAAGATATTCAGAATATTGATGGAGAACCCCATACATTTGTGAAGATGTTCAGTTCCCACTTGGGTCTGATTGTCTTGCACTTTGGTGGTTTTGTAACAAAGGAGTGTTCAATAACTAGACAAACCACCAATATTGTGAGGTCTATGTGTAATGTCCACATGTTTAATGTACTTATTTCTAGTCCAAGCATGTTTGCGTAACTGATGAAACACAATGTGGTAGTGCTCTTCTTTACACATTCATGGATGTCGAATGTACATTCTCTGAATTCCTATATCTATCTAAAAAGGGAATAGACCTTTGTGAATGTATGAACAGGGGGAGGCAAAGGTAGCTGGCTTAATTGTGGTCCATGGTATCTGATACAACATTTGTATCTCTCCTGCCATAATGCTTCACATGGTGGGAATAATAGTTAGTTTTGTTAAAGATGTCCAACTCAAAAATAATCTGTTACACAAAATGGGGAGCACAGAGCACTATCTGTATGTGTACCAACAACAATCCCTAATTGCTCAGTCCCTAACAAAGAAGTGGTGTAATGCTAGACAAATCACCAATATTGCAAGGTCATGTAAAATGTCCACGTGCTCAATGTACTCATTACTAGTTCGTGGGCGTTTGAATTGCTGATGAAATCCAGTATGTTAGTGCTCTTCTTTTGATCGTCATGGATGTTGAATTTGGATTGGCAGATTCCAAATCAACTCTGTCTGAAAAGGGAAGAGACCTTTGTGATTATGAACAGGGGGAGGTGAAGGTAGCTGGCTTAGTTGTGGTCTATGGTGTCTGATAACATCTGCAGCACTCCTGCCGTAACACTTCATATGGTGGGATTCGTGGGAATAGAAACTTTTCTAGTAGGTGTGCGATTCAAAAATGGTCCAGTACACAAAGTGGAGAGCAATATCCATATGTTTCCGACAAAATCCCTACTTGCTCAGTCTATTTTTGGATGGATGTTGATGATTTAAGCACCTATAAAAGCAGACAAGAGAGATGATAGATTAATGCTTTCATCTTGCACTACTAGTATTTCTCTCTATGGCTTAAAGTTAGGTCATTCCAAAAGTAAAATCATACCAGTTTATGTTCACTCCTATTTTTGGTCGCCTCTTTACTGGCTAAAATTAACAACTATGTTGTTACTAGACAGTGTGTGGGAGGATCATCTACTGCAAATAAAGGAAAATGTTCCTTACAAGTAATGCAAATCCTTCGCCCATTGCAATCTTTTTTTTTTCTTTTCCTATTTTTACTTTCCGATAGGAAGGACACTGAGCTTTCGATGATTTGAGACACGTTACGATGCATGCCACTGAGATAGTGTCAGAAGTGTGGAATCAGCCAAAGGTTGTACCAGATTTTTCTAGTGGTAGCATCCTTGAACAATCCCAACTTTGACAATAAATTTCTTAAGCCCTTTTTAAACTCTTTGTTGGTGGCAAGGACCAGATAATTTTTTATTAACATTTATTAGCGACGAGATCTATAATCTCTTTTCGCATGTCTTTAGAAATGTAAAGTAGGTGCAAATTCTCCCAATTTGTGGCCTACCATATGGTTTGTTATATAAATAGGCAAATGTTCATTTCCATTATAAATAGCAATAGTATGGCCGATTATTTTAGAGACTTGCAGCTGCAACATTTAAAATCAGTCATGATGAGGATCTTTTGTTTGCAAGGAGGATTCCCCAAATGCCTGAGATAAGGTTTATTATAGAAACTTTTTTTCGGAAGTTAATTTGGAGAGATGTCAAACAAAGATATCTGGAGAAAATAATTAGCGCACAGCTACGAGTGACTTAATCATTTAGACATACATTTATCTGTTCTATTTGCCACAAGATCAGACAAAAGTTAACTGCAGGCGTCTATTTCAATTGTACTCAGTGCAACTAGTATATGATTTGATCTGTGTGTAGCTTTAAAAATAAAACGGAATGGGAAATCTGTACAGGCATTTTTAATGGATTTCAGTTTGGTATTAGATCACAGTGCACTTCATACCATGCTTCGCATTAGAAAAAAAAACCTAAGATGGAGAGAAACTTTGATGCCATCTTTAGCAGATTTTAATAACTGGAGGACCTTTGATGAAAGGGGTGCATGCTCAAGATATTCAAGCAAGTTTCACTCTTTTCATAAAATGCTCAAACATCTTAATGACAGTATATTACTATTATTAAATTCTGTGTCACATTCACATAAAAAGATGCATATTTAACCACCATGGTATGCAGCCTTCAAAAAGCTACAAGCTGGTTTTGATTTTCCTCTCCATGATACCTCGAGATTATATTTGTATCCTGCTAGCATAATAGTGATGAATAATTAGGATAAATCTTGCTAGCATTAATAATGATGACAATTGGTTACCAGGGAAATGTTGCTGACATCTTCTTGTGATTGTCTCAGGGTTTCACAGGTTACCAGGGAAGGAAAATTTATGCAGTCTGATGTCCCCCGCCAGCTAGTTTATGGGACTATGGTATTTGTCCGACAAACAATTGTTGCAGATGCTTCCTGTGCTTTGTCACGGGCAGTTTGTATTGCTACAAGGTATAGTGCTGTTCGTAGACAATTTGGTTCCCAGAATGGACTTGAAACCCAGGTAATCTGGAAACTATTCTAGATTTCAAGCTATTGTGTTTAACTTGTATTTGGGAATGCCCATAATCAGGGCTACCTTATTTTATGCTTTTTTGTATCTCTGAATAAAAATGCTGGTTGCCTTCGGTGGAATACCACTATTTATGGTAGTAGCTAGAGACTTTAGCTCTTATGCTCTGTGATTTATTCCCTATTGATCTGACACATGTCCATGTATTGTCAAGTTGAAATGAGTACACTTTAGGTGCCATTGATGGGCACTCATGGCATAGCGTTTCACTGCAAAGAAAACACTTTCCTACCTGGCAGCATATAGATTGAGCCATGGGACTGTTCTTCCCATTGGTTTTGCTACAGCAGTACTCAGTGTAAGGCGTGGATCATAATGATGAGCATAGCTTAATTTAGCTGATCTCACACCGAACTATAAACCCCCCTCCCCCCCCCCAAAAAAAAAAGAAGAAGAAAAAGGAGGATAGAAAATGAAAAGGAGAAGAAGAAGGCACAGAAGGAACCTTTTAAATTTCCACCTATCCCATACTGATTTGATATTTATATCAACTATGGGTCTGTGTTAACGTCAGATTAATCTAAAACCCTTGATTTAAATTGAGTTGGTTGAGTGTTTGGCACTTCTTCCTTATGCTCCTGGGTGCCTCTCTTGTTTTAATATGGGCTTATAACCTAATATTAGTAAATTGTACTGCATAGTTGCAATGAATTTAGTGTGTAAAATTAACTTCCTTAGCTTTAAATTTGGGAGTAATTGTCGCAATAATTTGTTTGGGATGCATACCAAATACCATGTCTTTCCCATGTCAAGCTGTGTGACACTGATATGTCAGGAAGTTTGAGGAATCCACTGTTTATAGTTCAAATTATGCCTCTTAGTCTTGAGATGATATGATCTGAGAATGTCTTACTGGAGATTCTGAAAAAAGATTGTGATTAATGCTTCTGCTGCCTGCTTGGTTCATAGGTGATTGATTATAAAACTCAGCAAAGTAGGCTTTTCCCTTTGATGGCTTCTGCTTATGCCTTTAGATTTGTCGGTGAGTGGTTGACATGGTTATATAAGGATGTCACCCAAAGATTGCAAGCCAATGACTTCTCAACATTGCCTGAGGCTCATGCATGCACTGCAGGGCTGAAGTCTTTGACTACTTCTGCTACTGCGGTAAGTGACAAATGCTAATTTTTTTATTACCTTGCTATTATAAGTTTTGCTCTCTCTCTCTACTTGTGTTCGGTGTGCGTTTAAAATGTTAAGCTTTGGAAGTCTTTCGATTTTTTGGGATAGGAAGTTTAAATTGCAGCAAGTGGTACTTCGGTCATTTAGGGCAGGAGCAAAAGTGGCAAGTTCAAAATTTGATTCAGGCAAAGTTCCTTGAGAGTGTTCTGTGTATATATGTTTGTGCATTGGTGTAGTGTACGACCTACTAGATAATAAACTTACCTAATCATATTTCATAGTTAAATGTAATTGTATTCCAGGGTCGAATAAGTCAATTTTTTCAATATTGCTTACTATTTTTATGTTGACAGTAATATTGGTGTCAATTCGTAGATGTCAAGAGAATATGGCAAGTGATAAATACTTGGGCATAAATATGTCACAACTATAAGTGAGTTACACTTCTAGGATAAAAAGAGATATGAAAAGGGTTGGTGAGAAAAAGTGAAGGTTTGAGGTGAGCCCAATTGGGTTTGTGACAAGTCTATTTGAGGAGGAGTTATACATGTGCAGTGCGTATATACACACGGAGAGAGGTGGTGTTACAGAGATAATGTATCAAAACACAGGACTTCTCCTAACCATAGCCGTGGCCCTCAGATGCCTCTGTTGTCTTACATCAGATGGTATGTCTCTCTTTGTCTGTTTTCTTCATCATCTGCTTATTCTTTCTTAATTGAGGCAAAAATTTTATATGTTGTGATGTTTATGTGAAGATTGAACAATTTGATCCTTGCCAAGTCTAGAGATTTCAATGTCTAATAAGAACTGTCTAAGATGGTGAAGAGTCAAATAAATATGTGGATCTGAGGGTTGAATTCGTGAATTCTGGAAAATGAATTACTTTCGAAGTGCGTATTTGAGTTTTGAGCATGAGTGCGGTTTGCATTCTACATGAATCCTCTGACTTGGCCTTCCATACGGATGTTTGGAATCTTAGTTTCCTCTACTAGAAGCAATTCTTGATATGCAAATAATCTTGTAGGGAAATGGAAGACAATATCAAGAAGTAGATTCTCATATTATTTCTTCTTGAAGTTCATTTAATAGCAGAGCCACAGTGGCATACATGTCTAGGAAAGATTGAGTTGGTTGCCTTCCCATACTCTAAAATACCTTAAAGACAATATTCAGGTAATTCATGAGGACAAACATACTAGATTTGATTTTATATTAGGTCAAATTCCACCTTGTTTATGTGACTCCCTGATTGCTTGTTCCATCTCTTACTCTAGTAATAATGAAACATGACTCGCCTTTATATTGAATTTCTGATGCAACAAAAGAAATTAACCTTGCAATAATAGTGTAAAGCCTGTAATCAGTTGCATTTATTTCATTATGTTTCCTGTAGATGTTCATTTATACCGATAACATTTAAAAGGTTTATTTAAAGTCTTGTCTGGCACTTTTTATCTAAGATGTTTTTTAAATGATTTCCATTCAACTGTGTGGCAGGATGGGATTGAAGAATGCCGGAAATTATGTGGGGGCCATGGCTACCTTTGCAGCAGTGGGCTTCCAGAATTATTTGCAGTTTATGTCCCTGCATGTACATATGAAGGAGACAATTTTGTGCTGCTTCTACAGGCACGTGATACTAGTTGTTACAGTACTAAGTTTTGTTGATGTTATTTTTATTACATTCTTTATCAAGCTGAAGACCCTGAATCAATTCCACATGCTGCAATGAAGGTTCTTTTTGGCTATTGGTTTTAATAGGCATGGAATTATAGGTATACGCCAGTCGAGAGGTTCCACCCTAGTCATGATTCTGTTAATCATTTCCTATGCTTATCTGGGCTTTCTGTTATTTCTGTTAAGGGTGCAAGTGTGCAACTGGGGCAAACGATTGCCCCCTGGCATTGGACCATCTCCCTTCCATGGAGATGCGGGTTTATGCCTCACCTTCCCCATTCCCCAGTAAATGATGCAAACCATGTAATGTATAATTGAAGAAGAAGAGAAAAGAAAATTTTCAAAGGTGTAACTATCATTTTGAAACCTATGGAACCAATATGAGCCTTGTTAGATTGTAATTTGTTAAAAATTTTTTTGGGGATCGGGCTATTGCTTGTACACATTTGTTGACAGTGGAATTAATTAAGAATTATTCTTCTTTCATTTGCTCTAGTAATTTTTTTTGGAACTGGCTTCTAGCAGTTTAGCTGAATTGTCCAGTTTGACAATCAATCGAAAGTTTGCCCTGCTAATGCTTGTTATATCCTGTTGGTATAAGGCTTTTTGTTTGGTTTGGTTAGATTGGTTTGGTTTATATCGTGGATATTTGTCATGAATGTATGCTGAAAGTGCATTTTTGTCAGGAATGTATATGTTACCCCCTGGATGTGAAAAAAAGAAGGAAAAAAAGCCAGCAGCGCACTAGTTGTGGATCACTACAGTCTCTCTCTGTGAATTTGTTATTAGTGCTTCTGTTTTAGCTTGTTGGGGAGTTTGGTTGATCATGTGTTTGAACCTCAGGTTTTATTATTGAGCAAAGATTAAAATTTTGTTTCAGTTTATTGTTTTGGTCAACGAAAACGGGAAGATTTCGGAGATGTATCGGAAACATAATGAAAACCGATAAAATTTTGGGAATTTGTTTACAAAACATTCCAAGCATTGGACGATATATACATAAACGTCTTGAAACACATGAAACATTTTGAAGTATTGGCAAAAACATGCCGAAACGTCATGATACTTTCCGAAACAACTTGACGTATTAGAATTTCGAATTAATCATTGATTCTTTTCGGGCATTTCTACCATTTGAAACGAAATTTTGATCCTTGTTCCCGGGTATTTTGTCAAATTGATTTGATAGATCAGAGCTATAATGAATTGACCACTTAGGTATCTAAGTAAGTTCAGTTACCATGATTAGTGCCTTCTATTTTCGGCTGTAAATATAGTTTGGTTGATCATGTATTCGAACCTCAATCATTTGCTCCCAAGTCCTTTGTCAAATTATGTTTGATACATTAGAGCTATAGTGACATTAACAACTTGGGTATACCAATTGAACATTCTGGTGCTGATATATTATTTGGATTTGTTTGTATCATGAATTACTTATAATAAAGATGGGTGAACCAGCCTTCTTTAGGCCATACTTGTGCTAGTGCTGACATGATCTTATGAAAGTGAAGTGTTGACATTTTATGCCAAATTTTTCCATAGGTTGCAAGGTTCCTTATGAAGACTGTTTCTCAGCTGGGGTCTGGAAAAAAACCCGTGGGGACAGTAGGTTATATGGGGCGAATTGAACACCTGATGCAATGTCGCTGTGATGTTCAAAGAGGTATGTTGTCCTTCCTGAAGGCTTAAAAAGACAGGTATTCATATTTGGTAAGAGTCCATATGTTATGGCAGTTCTTACTGTGTGCTGTAGTGTTTACATATACGCTGAATTATAAGTTTATAACCTACTGACTCTTTAAGAAAGATGGCCTGACAAGTCATTCTTATAAGAGGGCATCAGTAGATCATGTGCACTCCTATTGGTAGTTTGTAAATTCTGTATGCTTTAATAAATGCAGCTGAGGACTGGTTAAAGCCTAGTGCAATATTGGAGGCATTTGAGGCAAGGGCTGCTAGAATGTCTGTTGCCCGTGCTGAAAACCTGAGCAAGTTTGCAAATTCAGAAGAAGGTACTTCTGCCTTGGTTGAATTGTTTCCTTAATTAAGTTCTAGCTCCTCCTCTTTGACAAATTTAATACTATTTCATTGTGGAGAATCTGGGTTGTGCACGACTAGAGTGAGTAAATCTATACTTTAAAACAGTTCTAGACCACAATTGGCCGCTTTTCTTGTTAATTGATCCTTTGGCCCAAGGTCGATTGATTCTTTAATCCTTAGATGTGTTAGTTTATTCACTCAATATCCTTACTTTGATGTCGGCCTGCTTCCCAAATTTTTGTGTGCATCCCTAAGCCGTCGTGTTCTTGATAAGATTCCAACTGCAAGTTTTGTCATTTTAAATGCTTATATCCTCACCTTGTCTTCAATTCTGTTTAGGCTTTGCTTACTGAAATGTTGTTTGGTTCAGGATTTGCAGAACTGTCCGCTGATTTGGTTGAGGCTGCAGTTGCTCACTGCCAATTAATTATTGTTTCCAAGTAAGCTACTTTTTCTTGTGCTAATTGGAAAGCTCTTTCCACTGGTGCACTTCTCTTCTTATACATTCCAGTAACCAACTCTTATTGCCAGTCACAAAATTCTATTGACACTCCAAAACATTCTGTCTTGAGTTGATAAGGGAGTCTTCCACGGCCTTGTGTTGAGATTGAACTGTAAATAGCATAATGGAGCAAACCAAGGGGCTTAGGTGCAAAAATCAACTTCTTTAGCCCTTCTCCATAAAGGTTGGCAGTACTAATCCATAGGTATAGAAGTTGTAGCGTGTGTATCCACCAAACTCATAGATCTTGTGAAAATAGAATGGAATGGTGAAGCATATTATCTCCTGATTTTGTCTGTTAGCTCATTTACTACAATATGAAAAACTTCCATATCGTGCAGGTTCATTGAGAAAGTGCAGCAAGACATTCCGGGGAAGGGGGTCAAACACCAGTTAGAGGTGCTTTGCAACGTCTATGCCTTGTTCCTTCTCCACAAGCATCAGGGTGAATTCCTTGCCACCAGCTGCATCACCCCCAAGCAGGCTTCACTTGCTAATGATCAGCTCAGGACTTTATATTCCCAGGTTTGTCCCGAATAATTTGCTCTACTGTCTTGATGCTGGAAAGGAAACTGCCGTCTTATTATTTTCCTCAAATTCTTAATTTTTCTTCAGGTTCGTCCAAATGCAATTTCACTTGTTGATGCATTTAACTACACTGATCACTACCTTGGTTCAATTCTTGGCCGGTATGATGGAAATGTGTATCCAAAACTCTATGAGGCGGCATGGAAGGACCCTCTCAATGACTCGGTTGTGCCTGATGGCTACCATGAATATATCCGGCCAATTCTGAAGCAACAACTCCGTACTGCTAAACTCTAAGAACAACTAGGGGTTCCATATATTTGAGTATGCATACTGTTTACGTTGTGTGATGCTAATAAAGCTAACAACATGGATGTTGGCCGGGATTTGTACCGGTTGATTAGTCGATATTCCGTTGTTTTGATCTTCAAGCCGAAGGTGGAACTTCGTCTCTGTTGTTACTTAGCTATTTTTAAAGTTGTTAATTTCTATTATTGTGGTTGTTTATGAGAATGAGAAGCTTTCGTCACTGTGCAATATTGAGTCAGATGAACGATAGTTTTACATCAATGCCAGGAGGTTTTTTAGTGACTCAAACTAACCGCATCCAACTCATAGTTTATTCAAATTGATAAAAAATTTTCCAACCTTTTTCTTCATGTGTAACGAAGTAAAAAAAAAAAAATGCATACCAAAGTTTCAAAATCAAATTTGACATTAAATTCCGGTCAATAAAAAAGTCTATACAAATTCAATTAGAAACAGGAACTTGATTATGCTGCCGAATAAAAAAAATTTGTACTATACCTTAAAAATTTATCACTTTTGTGGGTGCCTTTTATAATTTTTGTGATAAATATTTTTACTATTTTTCTTTCATATAAAAAAAATTATTACATTTTTTCGGTACAAAAAAAAATTATCACTTTTATTGTTAATTTATTATTTTTGTGGATATTTTTATCATTATTATTGTAATTATTTTTTTTCGGTACCCTAATAATAAACTTACAATAATGATAAAAAATACCCGTAAAAATAATTAATATTGATACTGTACTATTCTTTTTATTTTAGTACCATAAACAACTTTCAAAAACAAAATTCATATATGAATTAAATATTAATATCCATCAAATAATCATATTTGGATCGAAAGTCTAAGTCTGTTGACTGGCCTAAACACCACACTCTTTGAATACTAACATCTGTTTTAAGAAAAGTTTGAACTTTAAACCTCAACCTTTAGCATTAAGTGGGACCCTCAATCTCAATCACACACAACACGCACCCACTTCCACGTAACCGCCTTCCAGACCCCCCACCTCCCATTCTTGCATTAAGACCCGCCATTTGTACCCTCTCTCATTTGAACTCTTCCCATAAGACTCCCCACCTCTTACACCCCTTTCCATGCTCTAAAACCCAAACGTTCTCCCTCTAAAACCTAAACTTTCTCTCTCTGTAAGTCTCTGTATACAACAATATCGGTATAAGGATCCTCAGCAAAACCCTTTCGACTCACTTTGTTATCTCTACAATGATGACTCACTCTTATGCGACGGACACTCCAAACAAAGCCACCGACCTTGCCACCACCGTTATCGCCGCCTCATCACCGCCGCAAATCATAGCCGCGTGCGGCGCAATAGAATCGTTCCTCCAGAAGCACACACCGGACCAGGCCCGATGGTTCTTCTCCATCACTTTCCCAACCCTAATTTGCAAAATCTTTGGCTTCGAGGAGTCTTCGCCAGCTCAGAAACCTCACTCCCCTAACGGTTGGATCGAGATCGTTTCGCAATCGAACGATTCAGAGCTCTCCAGTAGGGTTTTCATCTTCATTTCCGAAAATATCTTGCTGTTTTGTTCAGTTTCAACGTCAATTGTCTCTCTCTTGTTAAGTACAAAGCTATATTATTTATTTTCTCTGTACTTTTAAGCAAAATTGCACTAATGAATTTACCGGTAGAAAATATATCTATATTTTTAACACATATAGATATGTAGCAAAGTTTTTTGGAAATAATTATACCTTCGAAAGGATGTATCCATAGACTGATCATAAGTTGTCTCGAAATTGTTACATACCAAACGGCATTTTTATCCTTTATTATTATTTTGTTTTTTGCAATATATCGAAAGTGATATCAATTACTTTGTGGCTATAATTACAATGCATCCATATCGATTGCCATTTTCAATTATTGAGTCTTCATTTGAACAGTGAGCATCTAAGAAACACTATATGTGCTCTCTATTAACCCTTCAATTGAACTAAACTGTGGAATAAAAATACGTTCCTGTGCGTGTGGTGTGGGGTGTATTTTCTGTTGGCATATTGAGTTTTCAGTGTAACTATCCTGCTATGTCTGGACTTTAATTGGGCGAAATGTGACGTACACACTGTTATATACGCACATGAATTACAATAATAGTTCCTTTATGCTGATATTTTATTCTTGGCTCGTAGGTAGGGTTTTTAGACTACTGTTACCAAATGGTGTGTTAATGTCTTCTATGTCTGCCGTTGATCGACTCTCACTTGTGAAATATGTGTTTCCGATTGAAAGATTGCCTGAGTGGGTTCGGAATATGCTTCAGAATGAGCGAGACTACAGCGTTTTGGCCGATTTGTGTTCGTTGTTTAAAGGTAGGGTCAAGGAGGATTCTGTTAAGGGTTCTTCATTTCAGGTGCAATTGAATGTGTTTGAGTATTACATGTTTTGGTATGCTTACTACCCAGTTTGTAGAGGGAATTATGAGAGTTGTGGTGCAGTAAGGGTTCAGAGAAGTAGAAGGTTTAGATTGGAGAATTGGACTCATTCGATTCCGGTGTTTTCAAGCGCTAAGCGTGGAACAGAGCGGAAAGTGGAGTGTAATTTGTATACACGGCTTCTTTATGCATACCTTCATGCATTTGTGCCTGCATGTGATTTGAATGCTCATCCACCGTATCGTAGTTCACTGTTACATTATTCATCAGGTTATGATAGTTTGGTTCTTGAACGAGCAGGGTTTTTTGTTAGTACATTGATACACTTCTGGTTAGTTAATAATGATTTCTCGCCATTGGCCGTGGCTACTTGCAAGTCATTTGGTGTGACTTTCCCTTTCCGATCAGTTCTGGGTGAGACCCCACCTACGTCTGGGTTGGGTGAGGTAGTGAACGTGTTTGTGAAGTACCTGAATTTTAGTATGGTTACATTTGCTGATGGGTCTGATCATGTTAAATATTCTGAGAGTCCTAGGTGGAGGATCTCAGGTTCTGTTGATTTTATGAAGTCAAAGGATGCTACATCAGGAACTTTCGGTGTGCACTCTGTTAGTTCTTGGAACTCTTGGATTCAGAGGCCATTGTACAGATATGTGTTGAGGGCCTTCTTGTTTTGCCCTGTGCAGACTTCTATTAAGAATGCATCTCAGGTATTTTCAGTTTGGATTAACTACATGGAACCTTGGGCTATCAGCTTGGAAGATTTTGTGGAGCTTGCTGCCAATGAGGGTATATCAAGAAAAAATATGACAATGGAGACCTCCCGATCTCCTTCACGTGGATATTCATCTTCCTGGCAGGGCTTTGTATTGGCTAACTATCTGTTCTACAGTTCCTTGGTTATGCATTTTGTTGGATTTGCACACAAGTTTCTCCATACAGATGCAGAAGTGATAGTACAGATGGTATCAAAGGTTTGTTTTCTTCCCTTTCCAGATTACTATTGTTGTTTGGCTTTGCTTGCACCATTGATAGTTTGTGTTGCATTGTTCATATCTATGCAGAAATGTGATCAACAGTTTTTGGACAGTTTTATATTGGACATTTTGTAGGTGTTTTTGATTCAACTCCCATTTTGTCGAGGCAATAATTTGTATATACTTTTTTTTGAGACAACACTGAAATAGTGTCGATGGCACTTGATCTGCCAGAGTTTTGAGATTTTAATTATGGTAAACACATAATCCATCTCCATTCTTTTTTTTTCACTGCAATTTCTCATATGCTGCATTCTGCATGCATCTATTATTATTTCTTGAGGAAGGAAATGTACAGTTTTATGCAAAAACATTGTGGTATAGAAGTGAGGAACAATGGAACTTTGGAATCATGGTTCGAAGTCGCAGTATCGGTCATCGACTCGGAGGACACTGATACATATTGGTCGCGTCGTCGCGGTACGGTATCGGCCGATACGCTCAAAATGCTAGATAGAAGCTCCAAAAAATTTTAAAAAATTATGATAAATTTTAAAAATTATAAGCATCATCATTCATGCATTATATGTCTACAATATATCCAAAAACACATTAAAAATAATAAAAATGAAATATAAAGACGCTACCAAAAATAATTATTATTATGAATGTTTAAGGTAAGCACTTAAGAAATATCATCATTATTATTGTCTCTAGGATAATACAAATTAGGATAATTTCCACCATAAGATTAATAATTTAGCATTTGATTTAAAATAGAATACTTCAAATATTTATTTAAAAAATAAATAATCTAAATATCTAACTATTACATTAAATATTTTAATGATTTATTAAATAGTAAATTTAATCTAATTAAACTTGGGCAAAAAGTGAACCCAAAAACTAATTAGCCACAAATAAAATAAATTAATCACACTATGTTAATAAATTAACCATTTTAAGTAATAAATTACCCACTCTAAGTAAAATAAATTACCCACACTTTAATAAATTACTCACAATAAGTAAATTAAATTATAAATATTTAAGTTAACAAATTAATCACAGTCAAATAGTGTTTAATGAATTAGGTGACACTGGGCTTGGCTTTGTCGGTTTGATACTCTCAGACGCGAGAGAGAGAGAGAGAGGTGAAACTCTTTGGCAGCAGACAAGAGGCGAGCGATCGCAATCGCGATCAGGACTCCGACTGCAGAGATGAAGAGAGAGGAACAGAGGGAGTCGGGGCTGTTCGAGACTTCGATTGTGATCGCGATCAATGATGTTGGTCGAGCAACCTAGGGTTTCTGCAATTAATTTTCGATCATGATGTTGGGTCTTTGCTGTGAAGAAGAAGAAGAAAGGGAAAAACAAAGCTTGTTGTGCGAATGAAAAAATTAGAAGAAAAACAATTATGCCTTCAATTTTAAGGTATGCCTTCTACAAATCTGAGTCCCATTTTTTGCTTGATTTCTTATCCCTCTTTCTTCTCTACTTTGGTCTTTTTTTGCATTTTTGTCTTTCAATTTTGGAAGAATTTATCATATCTGTCTGAGTCTGGTATGACTCGGCCTGGTTACGCCGATATTATTCTGAGTCACACCGATATTACTCCGAGTTAAGTCGATTCCACCGAATTGTAACCGAGTCACGACCAATTCAGGTGAGACTCGCGATTTTTGCGTAACGTGTACCGTTAGCGTATCGGAGGGGGCCGAGTCGGATACGACTCGGCCGATACCTTGAACCATGTTTGGAATGGAGGAGATGCAAATTGATGGAAGTCAAAGTGCAAATCAATCTTTTTCCATAAGAAATTTACAGTCTTGTACTACAGTGGATGGTTGATATGACCTATCCTAAGTCTGAGATGTAGGAATACTAAGAGGTTAGTACTAGTAAAGATTTTAGCCACAAAGATCAGCATTAGAGGAATGCCCACTCTTTGTTTAGGTTGGTTGGAATTAGGGATTGTCGTCCACCTTAAGGTCATAGTAAAAACTCAGATTTTTTTTTCTCTTCTCTGATTCTCCTGTTTTCTTAGGATTGGTACCCTGAGGTTCTTGTTTTTGGGGTCATTTTTTAGCACAGAGCAAGTGCCCCTTAGTCATTCCTATGCTTGACCTAGTATCAAGCCTTTCTTCCAGATCATTGCTTTTATGGGCCAAATCACCTTCTTGGGAGTATTCGTTGAATACACTCTCCTCAGTTTTTGTTATCCTTACATTCATGCTGAGGACTCTCTCTCGGGCCAACAAGGTTTAGATCTTACTTTTTTGCCTTTTCTTTTTAGAGGTCTTATAGAACTGCATTACAGTTTAGGCTGACTAGTTCCAATTTTATCATTCCACTAGCACAACTAGTTGCTGTTAAGGGCGCTTGTATCTCACATCCAATAATTAGGACCAATTTACATATTTGAGGGGTCATGTTGCCAATTTATTTTGGGTTGGATGCTCTATAACATGGTATCATAGTTGTTCTTGTTTTGTCAGTGAGCAAAGTCTCTTACCCATTTGAATTTCCCGGTATACATGATTGTTTGTTTGTTGATCCTACGTGCGAACCGGGGCTCATGTGATAGAGAGTTAAGAGAGTTTATATATCCTGTCGAATAATTAGGACTACTAAGGTTGGTTTATATACTTGAGGGGGGAAAAATATACTTGAGGGGTCATTCCACTCTTTGTTCTAACAGTTTCCACCCACTGACCCCCACGGGCGCGGGGAACACCCGCCTCTTGCCATTGTCATTACTAGTAGGAGCGTTCATTGGGAGGTCGTCTTTTTTGTCTCATGTCAATACCTAGAATAGGACTGAATAGTTACCTAAGACCGCATAAAACTGGCAAAACCATCCGCACTTGTTCTCTCTATAAACTCACATACACTGTTGTAATATACTTATTCAAAATTGAACCTCTTCTTTGCAGTCAAATTGACTGACAATACTTGAATAGTGTGTTGTAGTATATTCCGTTGTATGACACTTGCGAGTGTGTTGGAAATTAAAGTAGAATAATTAAGGAAACAGTTATCAAAATCATATTGGGAAGTCATAATTTACGAAGGCTGAGGTTGGTCCAAGTTAGTTTTATTTTATTAAAGTTGCGGCAAAAACCTTGAAGAGGTGACTAATACAAAGGATCATCATGTTGCAAATGATGGAACACCTTAATGAGTGGCTACAATTTGCATGCTCACAAGCATGTATCTATTGGATGAGCAGCATGTCTGATTGACGGATTGAAATGCAAGTTAGATTTTTGTCAAAAAATTTTCTTTTCTTTTCGGCAGGTTATAAACATATTGACATCGTCTACAGAGCTGATTGACCTCATTAAGAGTGTGGACACCGTTCTTCATTCTAAACCAGCTGGATCATCCAAATCAATGCTTAATAACTTATACAGATATGTTCCAGCAATCCGAGAACAGTTGCAGGTAATTTCGACTTTTTTACCTCTATCTGGTTCTCAGTGGATGTTCAAGATAATTTATTCTTTTTGTAATCTGTTTACAGGGATTGTTTTCCTAAAATTATAGCAGGTCTTAAAGGTTATATTGTTTGGTGTGCCGAAATTGTGAAAAGCTTCTCCTAAAATTATATATGTTTAATGAACCCGAAACTGGCCTCCTTACATCTCCTTAGAAAGTGGTTTTGTTAATGTCTCTTTCAGTTCTCTCCTTTATCCGTCATTTGGGATATTTTTTTATTTGATAAGAAACAAAACTTTCATTCATTAAATAAAGGTTATCTATCTGATTTTTCCTTGCTTCCCAGACAGCCTCCATTGGTTGCATGTTTTTTTTCCCAATAGGTTGTGTTTCTTTAAAGAATTAGTATGGGAATGTTGTAATGTAGGAATGTTGGAGATATTTATGAAGATATTGTCGTATATTTATGTTCCACAATGGTTTTCGCTTACTGCCTTGGACACACATTGTTAACTGGTTTGTGCTTATTATCCGAGTGTTACTTACAGTTTAATAAAATTTGTTTTTGAATTTACAAGGACTGGGAGGATGGCCTGTGTGAGAGTGATGCTGATGGATCATTCTTGCACGAGAATTGGAATATAGATCTACGACTTTTCAGTGATGGTGAAGATGGTGGACAGCAACTTCTTCAGGTTTTCCCCCCTTTTTTTCAATCAGTGTTCTAACTGTTATTGTTGCAATTAATACCTATATCTGTCATAGTTACTCAGGCAAGTCACTCTTTTTGTTGCAGCTCTTTCTGTTACGTGCAGAGTCTGAGCTGCAAGCCATATCAGGAGACAATCTTGGACACAACCTCCAGTGTTTACATGCTCTGAAAACGCAGTTGGACTGCTTGTTTGGTGGCCCTCTTGTGAAGTCCATGTCATTCATGCAGGAGTCAAAACAGTGTCAGCAATCGCGTGATGAAATATTCAAGCCCAGAAGGGTTGGCTATCAAACTTTGGCTGATGTAAAATACAAGGGTGATTGGATGAAGCGGCCTATCTCTGATGATGAGGTTGCTTGGCTTGCAAAGCTGCTTGTCAATGTGTCAGGCTGGCTTAACGAGATCCTTGGGCTAAACCAGAGCGAGAGCAGTCATGTAGGTCCTGTCTGGTCATATGTGGAGTTGTCAGGTGATGCACGCAATGTTCATGGACTTACAGACACCATGAAAGTAGTGTTGTGTTCTGTTGGTTCTTGGCTCGTCACAGTGGGTGGTGCTGTAGTGATGTTCATGAGAAAGCACGGTTTGCGGGTGAACCTCAGGTTGCTAGCCTCAAAGAAGGTGGTGGCAGTGTTTGTTATGGTTATTGGGTTCAGCGTTCTGAAAAACGCTTTTGCAGAGCGTTAGATGTGGTATGTAAATTTCGTTGTATTGGTGTTCAAGTGAATATGATTTTGCGCGGCTTGAAAATATCACGTGAGGTTATTTTATAGTCTACTATGTTCATTGATCACTAATTTCCCCTCATGTTTACAGAGAAGTCGTCGTTGCTGTTGGATTAGCAACTCTCTCAAAATTGAATGAGATCAATTGCCAATTCAACAGTAAAAGTTGATTCAAGTAAAATATAATTATTGTTTTGTTGGGTTAATGGGCAGAATATGTTATATCATCCATGTGTTAGCAATTTATTTTTATAATTTTATCATCAATTATTTACGGAATAAATGACATGGAGTGATTTGACTGGAATAAATTCATTAAATATTTTAAAATTTTAGTAATTAAGCATTTAGTTTAGGAATGAAAGTTTTCTCAAGTCACATCCTCTTTAATTTAATTGTTTTATATAGATAGGATCAGACATATAATATAAATTTAGAGTTTTGTCTTATAAATTTTTCATGGTATTTTGTTAAGTGAATACGATGAATCAATTTAATCATATGATTATAATTGGTTGACACTAAATGTACATTTTAGTATTTAATAACAATGGATGGAAAATCATTTGCCTACGCAAAAAAAATTAAAAACAAATCTTTTCCCATTATAAAAATTTTAAAAAAATATTTACAAGCTCGACTATTCGTGAAACTCAAATCAATATTATTTTGAGGACACAATCAACTTGTGTCCAAGATTGTGATAAGAGCGTGCTCTCTCTCTCTCTCTTGTTATCGGTCATCTCTTCATGGATTCGATACCCTCCAAAACTCTAGCTTCTCAACCCCCCCAACTAATCCTCCACTTGAACTTGAACCTCAGTCTTTGCTTTTCCTCCTCAGAAACCCTAGCTTACTCTTCTCAAACACCACTTCCTTCTTCATCTTCTCCTCCACCACCACCACAAACCGTAGCCTCTGACAATCCGAATCCACATACTGCACCCGAACCCCAATTGCCAAACTCGAATCCACCTCCCGAGGATCATAACAATGGCAGTTTTTATGTCACCCAGAATAGCACAGAAAAGGATAATTCCATTCAGGAAAAAAAACCCTTGGCCCTGTTTATTTCATCCCCAAAATTAAAATTTTATAATTTAATTATAGACACTAATAAAAAAAATCAGACGTGTCCAAAAAGTGTTCGTATCCTACATGTGTCGGATACATCACCTTCTATAGAGCGTCGGCACTTCATAGGTGAGTACCAGTCGACACCATTTACATCTACAGGGCCATCACAATCATCTCTCATCTTACTATCCTACGGACAATCCCATAATCCCCATTTATCGGGTAAACTGATACTGTTGCAAGCTTGAAACACCTCGTTTATATGGTATGCATAAATGTACTTGAAAATTGACAGCAGCAACATCAATACAACATAAAAAGTTTGCTTGACAATGTATAAATCTTTTCTTTTTTCTTTTCAATGCATACATCTTTTCTCGCTTCTAAGCAAACATTCAAACGCACCACCCGAATTAAAACTTCACCTATTAAACCACCAAACTGGAAAATAGGGTCTTCTATACCAGGAAAGTAATCCTTCAATACAAGGTCTTGAATAATCACTATTGTTGCTACTCATATATCTGCATGTAAGCTTCAGAGAGAGAAACCATCTGAGGCAGAGTCACTTGAGACATGAAGATCCTGAGAAAATAATGTATGTAAGACTTGACAGCAGAATATGTAGGGAATTCTCAACAATTGTTCACTAGCATTTAACTTTACCATAATTATTCTGATTTCTGCTGTACAAATACCTTGTAGGATCCTCCCCCTGGTCTACCATCATGAACAAAATTGGCAATCAAATCACACTTGGAGCACAATCTCTCATTCCCTTTAGGCGCTGGTAGAGGAATATAATCCTTCAGCTCTAGATTACTGGAAAATTAACTGAGAGACCACACCGGGGTAAATAGTAGCAAAATTAAAGCTGGAAATAAATGACATACTTTGTCTATATTAGCAAAATTAACACAGGTTGAATGTTGAAACACAAACCTGGATAATTATATTTTTCTCCATCACATCTTGGAAAAGAGGCGGCGGAGGCAAATCTAGTCCGAGCATCAGGAACGGCATTCTGCTAGTCTCGCTAACCACATTATTGAGTTCAGTGCCACCATCGGTTCCATTATACTGGGCATCTCCATTCTCTTTCTTCTCAGCTATAGCTCTGATATGAATCTCTTTCACAACCACCAATTCTCCCTGCAAAAAATTATGGCATAACATTGGACAACAAATATTTAAAGAAAAATACACCGCCGAAGAACAAAAACCGAGATGAAGCAAACACCTGAAATCACTGGTGGATTATGATGCTACTTCTTTAAGATCTGTATGCAATGTATTAAGAAGCCATGACATAAATTCTACTGGGTCAGACTGTGCACCTATGCAAAAACGTTTTTTACTAGCTTTCATAACTGCCAGCAGAAATTCATTACTAAAGTTGGATTACACAGGAACGAACCTGTCCCTTGAAGTTCCTTGAGTGCCCAATCTTTTGAGTGAGCTCTCCAAATTGAAGGTCAAGTGTAGATTTGCAGTGCAGATAATTTTCAAGGATAAGGAAAAAGTTCCTCAAGGGAGTAACTCACATTAAAGATTGCATCGTAACATTCACAAAGTCAGTCTTTCTAATGTTATTGAGTCCCACCTAAAAAAATTGTCGGTGCCATGAGATTATAATTAGCACAAGAGAAAGGTGAAATTAGACACTTGATTGTCTATCTTTATATTCAAAACCGTCTAGAATATACCAAATGAGCAACAAGAATGAAATGTCATAATAATAGCAACAAGTAATATATCATTCCAGGAAGATAATCAGAACCATCAAGTGCCCTAGATCATTGCCTGTTTCTATCAACCCTAGATCATTGCCTGATTCTATCATGTTGCTGAACTTGCTCCCGAGTAAACCTGTAAAATAATATCAGAGAAATCGAACAAGGTGATTCATCAAAATAGGAATGTAAACAAGTAGCAAAGATATAATGGGATAAAAAAAATTATCTTCATGTAAAAGCAATCAAAGCTAAATATTAGTGAACCTCGGGTTAAGAACATGTCGAATGTCATCTAATGAAGAGTCAATGATTTTATATTGATGGAAGGCAATAAAATTTCTCTATTCGAAGATTAATGTAAACATGGTGTCCTGCTTCAAGGCTATGAGTGTATGCATGAGATTTTTGGCCTCTTCCTTGGTAATACTTCCCATAGACCAAACACGCATAAACATTCAAATTTGAAAGAGAAACAAAACAAAACTTCTCAAAATCAAAATTCAAAACCTGCAAATAAAAACCTGTAAAAAGTCAAATGCATCTGCAAATAAAAGCACATAAAAGCTAAAGCCACTACCACCTCCCGAATAATGAGATTTGCAAAAAAGAAATTTATTAAGCTCATGAAACAGTTACTACCAAATGGCCAATGGATGTCGATATGCACAAATCAAAAATGAACTTTTGACATAAATTTACGTCAAAAGAATGAAGACCTTATGTATTCCCATGCCAAGTAACCAAAAAAGAAAGGATAAAAAAAAATTAAACAAGGACAATTGTGAGACTGTATATTCAATAACAAAATTTATGTATATATAACAAAAAGGAGCCGTCTACGGTTTCTATAAATATTTCCCATTCGGTTAGACTTATCAAATCAAACCCTCAAGTACAATTCAAGAGAAACTGAGAAAACAACCAGAATTGCAATAATTACCCAATAAGAGATTAATATGATACTTGGCGGTTAACATTATCAAGGTAAGGATAGTCCCTCCTCCCTTCAACCATGCGATTAAGCTTCCCCTGTCTTGCATTTTCACCATACTCATTCTCTTCATCATCCTCATTGTGAGGCTTAAAGTGCCCAAGGAACTCATGCCAGTTGACATTTGGAGGAGGTGGCTTTTGCCACTCGGTATTTTGAGAAGTTGGTTCATGCCACTTGGCATTTTGAGAAGCAGTTGGCTTAGTTGATCACTGCCAGTCAACAAGGGGCTCGCCTGGCCACTACCAGTCAATAAATGACTTGGGTAGGTCCTCACTCATCTGTGCCCGACACCCAAGGCAATTATGGATGAGTCCTACTCGGTGAAGGATCAACCTAGAACTTAGAGTCCTAGTCTAAAGCCACTCTGAATACCTAGGGACTAGTGACGAGGCACCAAGGAGTTGGAGTTGGAGTTGGAGTTGGAGTTGGATGCTACTTCGAGTAACCAGGGACCGGTGATAAGGACCGAGGACCAAGGGTCCCAATCTAACTTTACCCTGTACTTCTAAAACCTAATGACAGAGTTGAGCCAATCAACTAAGAGTTTGGGTTCCTCTGGGACACATCTCCCTACCACTATAAATAAAAGCCCCGAGTACCAGGTAATTCATTGAATCCTATACTATTCACGTTATAGTTTTCTTTGACTTGCGATCTGACTTAAACATCGGAATCCCTTTGGCCATTGATTCACCTAGGTGTTCTCTTATCTTGCAAGTCCCTCAAGGTTTCTTTATCACCCTATCATTCCTTAGAAGGTGAATACTCTTTGTATGAATTTATCCCTGCACAGTCATTAATAACCCTAATCCTATCCACATCTCTCATTTCATCATCTTCGTCCTCATCGTACGAAGTAAGAGGAAAAAGGGCATTGTCAAACGTAGGCTGAGGAGATAAAGTCGGTTCAAGTAGTTTCTGCCTCTTGGAGTCCTCGGTCATCGTAATCTTTTCTTCCCTCTTTGTTTTCATTTTCTTCACACACATGTCCAAATTTTCACTTTTCTCGATTCAATGTACATCAATAAATTTCTCTAATACCTGAATTCCAAATTCAAAACAAAAATTGCAAAACATAAATGATTAAGAGACATTGGAAAAACAAGCACACAAGTAGGAAGACAAAAACTGTAAAGTTTGTGATTGAGTGTGGGATAACTTACATGTGATTGTCGATGCAAATCCGTGGGAAGGAGGAGTGCTTTTAGTCCACGCAAGACGCACTAACACAGAGAGAGAGAGAGAGAGAGAGAGAGTGCCAAAGTTTCTAGGGCTATTTCCTCTGAATGATGGAGGTTCAGAGAGAGGGAGGAGAAAGAAAGTCAAAGTTTTTAGGGTTTTTTCCTCTAAATGATGGAGGTTCACTTTGCTTAAGCAAATTCGACAATCACATCTGAGGCAAATTCCTCCAAATATATTTGTCTTTTATATTTCTTTTTTTAAATTACTTAGCTCGAATTCAAGTGAGACATTTATATATTAACGAGTTTCGCATTAGTAGATACTTAGCCACTATCTTGATGCACGACATTTGTATCTTATCATCTTTTGTTATCCCTTCAACTATTTTCTCCTCCTTTCTATCTCATTTTTTAAGATGTTAAAAAATTTAATAAATAATTATAAAAATTTAGAGTGATAACAAATAATTTAAAAAAAAAATTAAATGAGAAGTTTTATTTAGCAAAGGGGTGGTTGTCACATGATGAAATGTAATTAAATTGAATGAGTTAAAATAAATTAAAATTTTAAAAAGTGAGAGAATATAGATCAAAGACCTCCTAACATCTCTCTCATCTAATTATTTGTTATATAATATATACAATATAATATAAATGTGTAATCTTTTAAGAAAAAATATAAAAAAAAAAAGGTATTAGAGAGATCTTAATCCGTCTCTGTTGACATTAGTACTAAGTGAGACAGTGATTTTATGTTATTATATTTATTAAATAACAAAATCTGACACATTTATTAGAATTAATTTATAATATTATAAGTTAATGGTGATATAATATCATTGTATTATTAAATATCTTTTTCCAAAATTGAGTTTGGCTATTATGTTTGGTGTGTTAGGGTATCTCCAACCCTTACCTTTTTCTAAATCTAAAGTTAAATTTTAGGAAAAAATTACTAAAATCTTCTCCACTATTATACCCAAACTCGTACTAAATCAAATAAGACTCCATTTTTTATCTAAATTAAAAGAGACTCAAACTTTTACTCAAATCACTAGTGGATAGATTTCAATCTCCTTTAAAAATTTAATGGTCATATTTGATCCATCTTTAAATTTGGGTCTGTCTTCATTTAAATTTGAGTTTATCCTTTTTTAATTTTGAGTTTCTTCATTGGAGTTGATGGGACATTTCCAGACACTCCAAGATGATGACACATGTTCTCGATGTCAATGGATGCTCACCGATCAGATCACGACACATGTGCGTCGGTCCATAATCCCCCTTCCCCCGAGAGTACTATCCACTGGGATCAAGGATCCCCAGTATGGCATAGATCGACATGTATTTCTCGGTCAGGTTGGGTACATCAGCCCCTAGCGACGCTGGACCCTCGGCACCGAGGAGGCACAAGAAGGCAGAAGACTCAACCAAAAGGGAATGGACACGTAGCATATTGTGTCAGATCAGAGACAAAAAGACCTGAATGCCCTTGCTGACACACAGCTTGGGAGGTCAGGCATTTAATGCATCCTTCGCTCGATGAGACAACATTTAATGCATAAGATCCTGAAAGTAAAAGGCAATAAATATTCCTAATACCAGGGCATTTAATACACCCCCGCCGAGAAAAGATCATTAAACGTTCAGCAGACCGAAGAAAGAGCATTGATTGCTCGGGATCCCGAGCAGTTAAGAATAAGAACATTACGTATAGAAATTGGTGTGCGCACTGCCCACCTCCAATGATTACCTACTAGCTACGCTGTCAGCAATGATGAGTTTTTAAAGTATAAATAGTCCTCACAACACAGAATAGAGGTACGCAACAAACCCTCTCTCAACCATCATATAGTGTTTTCTTTTTTCCCTCTCTCAAAGAACTGACTTGATCGTCGGAGGGAATACGCCGGAAAACACTCCGGCGCCCTTCTAACCTGTTTTTTTTTGTTCCACAAACATCCCTCAGCCTTCTAGGATCGCTCAGGTGACCCCTAAAAACAGTTCGTCATCACTTCATTGGCCACCTTCAACCCTCACAACCTGTTACAAGTAGCAAAATCGACCACTCGATTAACGGACACGTATTCACCAAGGAAGAGATATGTTCTCGTGTTTATATTATGCAAGATCGTGCACGCACAATCTGGGGCCGTCTGTAGGAAACGACTAGTTTTCCTAATTCTATTTCTAGAAAGAACAGTGACCATGGTGAATACTTGACCGAAAGGAAAAGGTCCCCAATAAAGAAGTCTCGAGTTACAAGCTCCTCATCATGGTGGGGGGAGGGATCACGCTGATGACAACATGAACGTTTCTATTCAGTCAAGGGGGCATACTCCTCAAACCAATATGGGCATTAGGTCAGGGGGATCCGCCCCCTTGGCTCGTCAACTAGCAGAGGTGATTGAAGAAAAGTTTGGGGATCGACTACGACAATTAGAAAAAGATAATGTGAATGTCCTGAGCCGGCTCAACGAATTTGTCGCCTCCGACGAAGGATCAAGGGACTCATTCCGTTCCTGCCAACACCCCGTCCAAGAAGCAGAACTCGTGGACCTGAGAAATCATTTGAACAACAAAGCTGAGAGTTCCAAGGTCCCAAAGCGCCCAAGAGCCGATGAGCACCCCCTCGATGGTCATTCCAGGAAGGCGAGGCCTTTGGCTTGGGACGACCTCCGGCGAAGCCTGTTAAGACGCGGGAAGGTGGACGAGTCCGAGGAGGATTCAACTCTTTCCACACGACGCCCGGAGAAGGGGAACCCTATCAACGACCCTAGAAACCTCAGAGGACATCCCCCTGAGGTGGAGGGAGGGGCAAGGCCGTCCAGGACGACGCAGAAGACGAGGCAATGCAATCCCCTTTTACTAGGGATATCCGAGAAATGGAGGTGCCAAAGAAGTTCGTCGTGCCAAGGTTCAAAACTTATGATGGAAGATTTGATCCCAAAGCTCACCTCAGGCAATACAAGCAAATGATGTCCCTTTATTACTCGGACCAACGGCTCCTCTACCGAGTGTTCTCCATGAGTTTAGGAGATTCCACTATGAAGTGGTTCGAGACTCTTCCTCCCAACGGCATTGGGTCATGGAAGGAGTTGACGAGGCAGTTTTTAGCCCGATTCATTACGGGGAGTAAACGGTCCAAAGATATTGGATCATTACTGACCCTCAGGCAGAGGAAAACGAAAACCCTTCGCCAGTACGCCATTAGGTACTAGGAGGAGGTCAATGAGATAGAGGGGTGTTCAGAAGTCATAGCAGCCGCATCCTTTAGGCTCGGCCTGGAGAGGGACACGGACCTGTACCAATCCCTGACTAAGAAGACTCCCTCAAATATAGGTGAATTGATGACCCAGATAAACAAATACTCCAAGATTGAAGATGAAATGGTGGGCAGCAAAGGCAAAACTCTCCCACCTAGGAGAAAAGAGAAAGAAACAAGGGACACCTCCCGAAAGGAGCTGGTACCCCCTCCAGGGGGGTCATTTAAAGGTGTTCACCCAGTCTTCAAAGAACCCATCTACAAGTTACTCCATAAAATCAAGCATGAGCCATTCTTCAAGTGGTCGCCTAGGATGCAGAGTGATCCTTCCACTCACGAGCAAAAGGTCAAGTGTTCTTATCACCGGGATTTCGGCCATCGCACCGAAAATTATAGGTTATACAAGTCTTTCTTGGAAAGGCTGGTCCAGGACGGTTACTTGAAAGAATACATCGAACCCAAGTCAGAAGAGAAACGCGGTCCTGCCCCGGCCGTGAAGCAAGACAACGTCATAAACGTGATCCATATATGTCCACTGGATCGCCCAACGTCCAAGGAGCTTGAGTCCGATCTCAAGAGGGTAACGTTTACGAGAAAGGTTGTCGAGAGCGATGGAGGCCCGCCCAGCAAGAGAGCCAGGATCGACGAGCCGGGTATCACTTTCTCTGACGCAGACTTGGCAGGTGTGGTGACTCCCCATAACGACGCCCTAATCATAACTCTGAAGATAGGCAAGTTCAATGTCAAGATGGTGTTGGTGGACTCCGGGAGCTCCACGGAAGTGATGTACTCGAAGAGTTTAAAGCGGATGGGCTTTGGCCTCAAGCACCTCACCAAGGTCAGGAGCCCTTCGTCGGATTTAATGACTCATTTACCTTGCCCATAGGCAAAATCACATTGCCAGTTGTCACAGGTCCCTTCACCATCAACACAGAGTTTGTTGTGATCGATACGGACTCTCCCTACAATGTGATCATGGAGCGATCTTGGTTGCATGCGGTGGGAGCAGTGCACTCCACTTATTACCAGAAATTGAAATTTGCTACACCAGAAGGGATAATGGAGATCCGAGGGGACCAAGCGTCAGCAAAAAACTGTTTTTACTCTGCTGTGAGAGCAGGGGTTTCCACCCAAGGAAGGGATGCGCCCCGGAATAGATCTTGGAAAAATAGCAATCACAGTCTGGGCGTCCAGGAGTGGATGAACCCCAGACTGATCCGACGGACCGATCGGTAGATAACCTCCAAAAGGTGTTCCTGGTGAAGAGGAGAGATACTTCCTGATTGAACCGCAATGCCTACAGCTGAACAAGAAGAGATGATCAACTTTTTAAGGCAAAATGCAGACGTATTCGCTTGGAACGCAATGAAAATGAAAGGGGTGGACCCCGAAATAATCACGCATAAACTACATGTTGACCTGACACACAAGCCAATAAAGCAAAAGCCACGACGCATGGCATCGCACCACGCCCGGGCGGTGAACGAGGAAGTCGATAAACTCTTCGAGGCTGATACCATCAGAGAGGTGCAGTTCCTGGAGTGGTTATCTAACATGGTCTGTGCGAAGAAAAAAGGGGGGAAATAACGTGCCTGCGTAGACTTCACTGATCTGAACAAAGCGTGTCCCAAGGATGACTACCCCCTCCCAAAGGTGGACCAGTTGGTGGATGTCACTACCGGGTATCAG